AATATTGACTGTGTTTTGATTATTTTGGAGCAATTTTCTCACTTGGTTGTCAAGTTTAAGAATCTTATCTTATCATGCTCTGGGTTTCAGACGTAAAATTCTCATTAAATATAAATTTAATTGTTATTTACATTTTGTATACATTAACTTTAAGTATATTAAAATATTGTATCGACACAAACACAAACATGACCAGAGTTTCAGCTGCATACAAGATTTACTATGAAGCCAAATTTAAAATCAATTTGAAAAACAGTTTGAACTGTGAGACAATGGGAAATAATTGCGATTACTTTTTGTCGACGAGTTGTTGGCCAGCGAAAATTGGCAATGCACATTTTATTGTAAAGTTACTGTTTTTGTGGTCGTTGTTGTTGCTGTTGTTGTTGTTAGTATTGCTGTTAATAAAAATTTATGATTATTGTTTTCACATTTTTCATGTTGTCAATATTAAAAACATTATTTTTCACGCGAATTGTCGTCGTCAATGGTCGCTGGACATTGGATGTGAAACGGACGCGTTTGCATCTTTTCGTCTGTTTTCCAAATGGAAATTGTTATTGAAATTCGTTGATGGAATTCGACCAAAAACAACAACAACAACAACAAAAAGAACAATAGTAGAATCATGTAGAATCCATTCAATCGACTGGTCGGCCACCACTCATAACTCAGACTCATCCTCATCCACATCCTCATCCACAGTATCGGAGTATAAGTTGGAGTTGGGGTTTGGATCTGAAACTTTAGTTGGAGGCAGGGCAGGCGCCATTTGGACGGGTCCGAACAGGACACAAATCCATTGGCATTTTCCACTGGCGGGCATTGTTTGGGAGGATTCGGCACAATTGTCAGGCAATAAATCGACGTATGTAGGGTTGTAAATTTGTGCAGGATGGCCCGATGAAAAAGTGCATATTATGCAATTCGACAATACGCCAAACATGTCGACCTACGTACGCACAACACACACTCAACACACACACACACACACGCACACAAACAGAGATACACACACCCGATGCATAGCAGCGGAAACGGAAACGCGCACACAAGTTCAGTCTCTTCTTCATCTTCGCCGGACGACACGCCCCCATTCCCCATGTCCCATGCCCCCTTCAGTGCGACCGATTGCAGTGCTTTGCATATCAATGAAAATGCATAAATTTTTTGCCTGGCCGCGTTGATTTTTTGCTGCACTCGGCTTGCATTGCCCTGAAACCGAAACCGTCCACCAACGTGCATAAATCAGTTTGGAAAGCATCGCCAAAAAAAACGGGGGCACACCCCAAACCCAAACCCAGCCCTCACCCGCACCTCGCACCCCGCACCCATGACCACTGCAATCACACAGGATGCTTCACATTTGACAAAAAACGCAACAGCCTCCGTGCTGACTGCTCGTCCCTGTCCCAGTCCAGGACACAACCGAGCAGTGCACAGGCTTGTACACTCATACACACACACACAAACACACACAAATACCATACACACACACGTGCATTGACGAAACGTAATCCTTACGAAAAACTGCACCATGCAAAAACATTGAAAATCCATAAAAATGCATCATAATTTCGCACCACGCCACTGAAACTGGATCATCATCATCGCGCTTAACAGCCAAATGGGTAACAGCGTACACGCACCCTTACCCATAAATTCCAGCGGCACTAGGGGTACTCAGGCTGATCAATTTGTGTTGTTCAGTGCTTGCAATAGACAACATTGTCGTCAACAGCAATCGCAATATTTGTTTGATTGAGGGATAATAATAGACGAAATATATTTTAAGTCAACCCATAGCATTATAAACTGTTTCACAAACTGACATTTACCAACACTTAGTGCCCGTTTCTTCAAGAATTCAAAAAAGATGGCAACACTCTGCTCAAAATCAGCTGTCTTTTCTTAGTCAACTTGAATCGGTGTCGTTGCAATTCTTTATAAACGTCTGAAAAAATATCATATGAAAGAATCTCAACTATGACTAAAGGATATTCTAGAAAAACTAGCTCTAATTTTTGGATATTACTATGTATATATTATATAATATATATATGCCAAAACTCAAAATAATTCCAGATTTTTTTATATTTTTGTGGGACTAACCCTAATGCTTACACCTGAAGGCTCCCCGCATCCAGTGGAACTGATAGCCATCAAAGACTGCTGCGTGACTGTGCAAGGGTTGAGCTGCTGAGCTGCTGTTGAGTGCATGCGCAGCCTGCAGGGAGCAGGACAAGTGACGCATGTCCTTGTCTGTGAATGTACTGGGACGCAGGTTAATAGATTTGCACTGCTCCTGGTTGCCTTTTTCCCGATGGCGAGAGTTGCACGGGCATAACGTATTCCATACGCCACGCTAGGCTGTGCCATCTTTTCCGCGAGACTGCATATAATCACCAGGATACTCCCACACCCCACCCTCTCGATCCACGTAACCGTGTTTTTGGGCGGCTTTTTGTTTTACTTAACGAATGGGCGACCGTAAATTTTACTTCATTCATTCGGAGGTTGCGTCGAGGTATTTCAGGCCTCATCCGCGCAGTTTTTACCGTGCGCATCTGAGTGCATTCGATGCGATATGTTGCCGCGCTGTCCACATGTCATCCTTGCATTTATTTATTGAATTATGACTTTGCCACACAGCCACCCAGTCAGCCATTCGGCCATTCAGCCATTCAGCCCAAAAGGTAAAAGAGACTTCTGCCAACAGCAAAGAGTAATGGCTTGTAAGCGAGCCAAGCCACTTTCCGATGCTTTAATACTGATTGATAATTGTAAATCTACCGCTGAAAAATGTATATTGTTTTTTTTTTTGCATCAAGCGTAGTTTGTTTATTTTAAGAATTGGACCGGCTTAAAGTTTGAAATATGAAAACGATTTGCAATATTTTGTATATCTATAACCTTTTAAGGCCACACTTGCCGAATGTCAACATTAAATAGTACAAATATTGAAAACAAAATATGTATAACAAATTATTGGGTTAAAATCTTGTTGCTTATACTATAATACTGAAGGTACGAGAGTATATTGGCTTTGCTGTCTGAGAGGCACCCAATTTGGAAGATTTGTTACTGTAAACATGCTCTAAAGATCGATAAAAAAAAAGTAAGATCTTGCCCACTCTGGCTCCCACATCGATCAACCCATTTATCTCCAGCCATTTTAGAGCTGAATTTACCAAATTTAAAATTTTGTTAAGAAATCGGAGAAGCCAATATCTCTTGTGATTATAAAGCTACAGACAAATTATGATAATTCAGGGTTCGAGGCACCCGTTTATTACAAGCTAGTACTGGTATGGTATGGTGGTTCATATAAGCAGACAGATTGCAATATTCTTACTTGTTTTCAAATTGGGTTTTGTAACGGCTTCAATGATATCAGAGTATATTGCTTTTGTCTTGAGCCATCATTTGGTCTACATGCAGTTTGTTTGCTTTTCACCAGAAGACAGCTTCTTAAACATTGCACAGAGACAACGGCAACACAAAAGGAAATCTGGCGTAGTTTCTAAGATTTTACAAGACTAGCAAATATTTGAATACGTTGACGTTGGCGGCGTTGCCTTTTAATTGTTTCTAATTTCGATGTTGACACTTCGCTCGCCGAGTGGAACGGGAACGGGAACGTGAACCGCACCGGCACCTGTACCGGTAGCTATAGCCCAACTGTGACGCTATCTGCTGTCTGTTGACAGACCACATGGAAGCGTGTTCCATTTCCATTAGCCGCTTGTTTGGCTTTACTTGGTACTGGCTCCGACACCCCCGGTTGTGAGTCGTTTGAAGTTGAGAAATGCCGCACACGACATGCATATCCACATATCTAATTAGCCGTATGTGAAATGCCGCCCTTTCTCCCTACCCTTGTTCGGTGTGCTTCTTTGAGCTACCCCCGATTCTTTGGTTTTTGCCGAAACTTTATGACTTCTCATTAGGCAGTCGCCTTAACCTGTTGACTCCCAGGTGCAAACACTTCTAGTTGGGCTGTAAGTCGAGCACGTCGCTTGCCTTGCATCTTTTTATTTCCCTTCAGTTAAGCAATCATCACAGCATCAAAAACCACTTATTTATTTTTGAAACAGTCTGAATTTGGTAAACAGAGCGGCTTTCAATGACAATTCAAATGCTGGGGTTGTCTTAATGCATTCAATTGAAATGTATACAATTGAAAAATAAAAAGTAATTACAAAATTCTAATTTGAAATCCATTTCAACAATAAATTATTGAAATTGAAGTTTTATATGAATAATTTTGTAATGAAATATTCAAGTTTTATTGAAGAATTTATTAACATATTCTGATATTTTCTGCAATTTTCTTATAATCACTTGATATTTATAATTGTGTAATGCCAAAAACAATGTTTTTTCTTATGACGCAGAATTTTAAAGGTTTCATAACTGCTCAATATGATTGGTATGAGCTCTCAACTACTTTTAAGCAATTAAAGCTTAATACTCAGAAAGATAATTATTATCTATTCAAGCAAGTATATATATTTAAATTTAAATATTGTGCATGTGTTCAAAATAATTAAATAAATATCATTTAAATAAAAGAAGAGCGAATGTTGCCTTGATTCAGTCACGATTCTATAATTTTACATATCATACATTAAAGTAAAGCATGGCATTATATATATGATCTTAATTTAAAGTCAAAATTGTTGCTGTTTTCTAGAATTTATTTTCCTAATACTTAAATTTTAGCTTAGGCAGCAAATCTTTTATCAAGGTGTTATGAAATCATGCAGATCTGTGTTAAAATCAGCTTTAATTTCAAAGAGCGCTCACCAAAGCGATCTCTCTGATGCGGTTCACTTGTGTTTTATTAATGTATTTAGTGTTTGGATATTTTTCACAATTCGATGCACAGATAAGCACCAAATAATTGGTCAACGTTTTGTGGCCAAAATTTGGTGCTTCATGTTGGCCAGGTTAGTCGTCGGCTTGTCGAGCAACGGTTCAGAGTCTCACTTGCCACAATGAATACGCGTCGAGTTTTGCGCACCTCGAATGTTTTGCTGCTGTTGACTGGCTATCAGATGCACTGGTTCGACTCCCAGCTGCAACGCTATCGAATCTCTGCGCCTGGAATCCTGAATGTGTTTGTTTTGGCCTGCATTTATGCCGGCTGTTTCAACGAGCACTTTCAGCCCTCGGCGCTGCTGAAAACTCTCCTGGATGTGTCACCTTTTCTGTACGGATTGACGCGGCTGCAACTGCTGCTGAGCATCAAGGTGTTTGCCTATGCCATTTACGCCTCTGTGCGAGCGGTGGGCGTGGCTGGCGAAATAACCGAGTCCTTACCCATGACGATTATCTCAGCACGAAGAGGTTGCCTTAAGCGGGAACTTATTGCATATCTTTTGCTGTTCTCCACATTTGTTGTGCTGCTCTGCTTTGGATTGTACATTGGCTACGAGATGCAGTTCAAGTTGCCACCGCTGCAGCACATCATGATTGGCGTTGCTCTGTTCCTGCCACATTTGGTGCTGGCGGGTGCATTGCGCTTCTATTGCATATTCGCTTGGCTAACACGAGAGCGATTGCGGCAGCTGGAGTCGGAAGTGGAGCAGCTGCTCAGTGAGAGCAAAATCAAAACTGAACTGCAACTGGTGGCAAACAGCAGCTCTGTGGCAGTAACTGTAGCTGCCTCCAACGAGGACAATCTGCTGAAGCCGCTGCAGCAGCTTGCAGCACATTTTGGCAACTTCTTTGACCACTTGCAGCGATCGTTGCTGCTGCTGCTGGGCGTCAATGCTAATTGCCTGCTCTTTGGCTTCTACACCTATGTCTACTTTAGCAACACGTGGCACGTTCTCTTCGATGATCACATGCGTCGCGTCTTCTACGCCGGCAATATATCCATCTACGCCTGCATTGGCTGCGATTATGCATGCTTGCTCCTGGCTCAGTCGCTACTGGAGCAGCAGGTGGGTTTTCCGGAATAATTATGCACTCCTTGGTGTACTCACACACAGTCCTCATCTTACAGCGTTTTCAATTCCTCGACAGACTGAACTCTGCCCTGGCTCAAAGGAATACGCTGCCCAAGCGTATTCGCAGGATTCTCAAGGATATGCGTTATACTTTGTCAAATTGCTTTAATTTGAAATTTCTTTCCATTTGGCGATTTAATGTGGCTAATTTTGCAGTGGTGAGTATTGATTTATTGATTATACTACATATTTATCCACATATGCAAATAAAAGTAAAGTAAAGTAGAGTAAAACTAACTCAGTGAGTATTAAATTCTTATAGACCCGAAACTTGAATCTGCATAAGGTCTAAAGACTCTTTCTGATTATTATAAAGACTATATAGTTAGTATACTAACTTATTTCCATGTTGTACCCTTGCAGATACAATTGATACAGTTGCTAGTTGTAGCGTTAATTGTGACTTGTCATTATCTGAACGATGCCATTCTGCAGACAAATGAACGCTTTGATAGCAATGATGAAGACGATTAATATACTTATTCATATACATATATATATATATATATATATTTACCCATTATTTAAGCTTAATTTATCTGTATTATGTGTGGTGTACTGCCTGCTTTTCGGTTAGTTTCCAGTTATAGTTTCCCCTTATAGTAGGATCCTTTTGAATTTGAGACTAGCCTCATAGAAAATGTTTGCATGTAAAAACATTATCTATAAATTTATACGTGGTCTAAGGAATGAAACTAACCACAAATCACGATTAAGATTCTAATAAAATTGTTCCACAATCAAAGTAAAATTTTCTGTTGCCCCAACTAGAGAGGAGATTTTTGGCTGAACAAAATGCGTGTCACACTTGGATGACTATAAAAAATGTATTTATAATTGTTTTTAGAGGAACAACTTTAGATATCAATATATATATGTATATATAATACAATTATAATTCTAATTATTATATGCAAATTAGGTAATATTCTTTTAATTTGGTTTATAAATGCTTCAAATAGTTTAGAGCTGCGAACATTATAAATATATGCGAACATATATAAATATGATGGTTTTGGTTCGCTTTCGGGAAATAATATGTGTTTTTAAAATACAATATTCAACAATGTTGCAAAGTACACGATGACTTAATAATTATCTTTTGTTAAGATTTCATTATCAGGTATTCATTCTGGCCAGTTCACTTCCATCTCTAAGACTTATGGCAGAAACAGCTGGCTTGGAGGATATGCATACATTCATAAGAGGCCCTCAGGCCAACTACAGTCAGACATACAAACGTATGTAGAACGGGTTTTTCATAAAGTTTTCACTCAGCAGTGGTCGGGGAGGGGGCAGAGGGGGAGCGCTGTTTCTGTTGCCCGGGATAACAACATGCAACGCCGGCAAATGAACATAATTTGTGTTAGGAAATCTACATAAAATTTACTGTGACTTCCCGACACCCCTCCCCCGCACCCAGAAAGGCTTCGTATACACACCCACACATACACACACACACAGTGGAGATGCTGATGAGCAGATAAATTCATTAGGCAAAACCATGTAATTGTTCCACCAGGACAACAGGAACGCGACAGAGCTGATGGCGGGCTAAGACGGGGCGCTAAAGGAAAGCAAACAGCAGCAATGCCAGCGGCAAGGATATGCGGATAGTTGCCCCATCTGGCAGCAGTGCAACGAGGCAACCAAGCAACTCGCAGATAGACGACCACAGGCAGATCTTAAGTTTTGCGACTACCACTACGAATCACGGGGCAGAGAGGCACGTTGCCGGCAGCTGGTTAGGTTGGATGGAAGGTGCCGGCATGCGAAACGTTACTAAATACAAATTAAACAAATCCATAAATAATGTTTAATAATATTAACAAGGATATTAGCAAGAACCACACTCACACACACACTCACACACATGTGCACACTTATTGCAATCAGTGTGAGACTGCACATTTTGTGGTTTTGCGCCGTTTGGGTTTACGACCAGGCGGCAGCCGGCTGCTTGTGTACACCTCAAGGATACACGGGTGCCAAGATGACAACGGATGTGTCCAGCTTGTCCTGTGGGCTATCAATCCAACTTTAGTCGAACTCTTAATCTCCAAAGTGTGTCAGTTTACAATTCAACTGGATTGTTTTCCGAACTGACGGAAATATTGGTGAAGTTTCTTACGCTTCATAATACAAGTTGAGATAGTATCAAGATCAAGATTTCTGACGATCTTGAAAGAGATCTTGCAACCTTATGATCGTAAAAACTCTTGAATAGTACGGGTATTCTTTTCTGTTTTCTGATGAAACTTATTTCGTTTGAGATACAAAAAAAAAACATTTTATTCTTTTATGTATTTACCTTAAGTTTATTTTTTGACAAATCATAAATTAATAAAAATGCTAAATCTTAAAATTCAGTTGTATTTTAATTCAGTTGTAATGAAAGGAACTTAAGAATTGATTCTTCATTTTGGAAAAGTATAAAATATAAGCTACTTGTTTTCCTTACAAGTGAAATAAATCCAATGCAAATGCTGCGTAAAAAATAAAATAAACTTTTATCCAGTTTTGCATTTAAAAAGTTTGTTTTTATATACTTTTTTCTTTCGAATATTTAGTTTTATGTATGGGTCGTGAGGTCTGAGTCTGAGCCTTTCTTTTGGTAATTATTATTGCAAGTAGATCGGCTGCGACTCTTATAACGGCCTCGCGAGTAACGCCTTGGATTATAGCTGTCGGATGATCTTAGCTCCGAGCTGTGTGTACTGAAATCACAGCTAGTATCACTGCTCGAGTCCGAGCTGCTGCTAAGATAACGAGCCTTTCTCGGTGCTCGCTGCACATTCTTCATACGGGACGGACGGGCAGAGTTGAGGGGTGTCCGAGACGCCTTTGAACCTTGTGGATGACTCGCACCTGACGAACTACTCGAATTTGTTGTAGATGTGTAATCATCTGTGGTGGTGCTGCTGCTGCTGCTTGAGGATCTCCTGCGACATACGGTCACTATTCTGTCTGGCGCTTTAGGCGAAAGTTGATATGGCCTGTAAGGAGTGGATCCATGAAGTTTTGGCAAGCGTTTATCCAAACGCTCAGACCGATGCGTGTCACGAACTTCGACCTTAAGCCAGGGTTTACGACTGCGACGCCGCGGCTTCGGCTTGCTTAAATTATAGCCAGAATCTCGCATCATTTGCCTGTGCTCCTGCAAACTGGTGTTAAAGGAGCGCTCAATTTCAGTTTTGTGGTTGACGGGATTGCTGTTCTCGACTACCCGACTTGGAGGCGTTGGCAGTACCAGTGGGTTAACGTTGTCAAACATCACATAGTTGCCCATATTCATGCAACCCAGATGCCTGTAACGGCAACTGCTGCCCCACGTGCAGATGTTTCTCCGATAGAACGGGCAAATGGGAGCTTTCTCCGGATTGCTATAGTCGCTATCATAAATCTCACCATCCTCCAGTTCGTCTTCCAGTTCGTTTTTATTATCGGGTGGTTTCTTGTTGGCATCGTCCAAACTTGTTATCTCCTTCTTCTGCTCAACTGGTGCCTCAGAGTTCAGCTCCATTTTAATTCCTTTTCCTCGAGCAACAACTTTAGAGTAGTGACATAAAGCACACGTGCTTAGTTAATATTATCATAATTTTTTGTTTTTTTTCCCCAATAGATATAAGAGCTTACCTATTCGTGGGGTATTCTGATTTACCTGATTCTACAACTCCACGTGTTGTTAAGAACACTTCAATTAAAACAACATATCGATGGTGAAAGTTCATCGATGACAACATCGATGTAAGCTAATAAGCGCACTTAGCGTTGCCAGACTGATAGATAAATCGCAATGCAATCACTGCAACTGAAACTTGGAATGTTATCTTAAAAGCTGTGCAAACTTAAAGTAGTGTAGTAATGAAATAATACATATTTTGAGAGGTTTGTCATTATCTTTAAAAGATACATGTCCAAAATTATGGCCTACGATCGGGGCCTAGTTTTTCTTCCGATTTTTGTTAGTCTATATGAACAGATATGTGAAGACATACATATATAAAAAATTAGTTGACTTTCATTTGGCTATGTGAATTGAAGAGAACAACATTTCGAGAGGCAGACTAACCGATATCTAAAGTATTTGGATATTCCTGATTGATGGCTTATTCCTTTTATTATAAATTTATTTGTAAGAATTTCCGAAAAGAAGCGTAAATCAAATCTCTAAATTAATTAATTAATTTCCCCTACGTTTTGCTTTTGTAGATCAGCACAGTGTATACCCAGATACATATTTCTGCAGTGTATCTTTCAATCAAATATATTGAAAGGGTTTCACAGTTTCCAATTGCTAAATTAAACACAATATGTATTTTGAGCACCGCATTCAAATGTATATTAAGAAGCAAGCAGTTAGCTGAAAATTACAAACCAACTGGCAACTTATAGACGTGGCCAGCAGCGTGAGTTCCATGCCACCATTTGCCACCCCCTCTACTCTACAACTTCCCCCTTCACAGGCCGTCCAGCATATTGAGCAACAGCATCAATTTCCGCAAAATTGCGCTACTAAATTACCATAACGGGGCAGCAATCCTGTGCACCACCTCAAGGAGACGAGAAACGAAAAACTAACGGAAACATATTACGCCAACTTAAGAAACCAAACAAAAACGGCGACAAGTGAGAGATGCGGACAGGGACAAGACAGGAGGACAGAAGTGCGACAAGGCGAGACAAACGCCGAACCGAACTGAACTGAAAATAAGCAAAAACCAACACAAAACAAAAGAAAAACCGAGACAAGCGCGAAAAACGCAAACATCAGCAATGCGGCATTGAAGCTACCTGTGCCCCCAAAACCCAGGACGAGAGCGGGGGGCAGGGCGCCTGTCCCACAGGACTTGTAAATAGCAACACGCAAACAAGTTAAAAAGTTCTGCTGTTGTTCTTCGGCGCTTCTTTATGCTCCGCCTGGCTCGGGCCCAACATAATCGTTTCTCATTTCAATGGTGGAGGCATCCGTACCAGCTTCAGCTCCCTGCTCCCTGTTCACTGCTCACTGCTCAACTCCAGCTCCATCTCAGCAGCTCACCTTTTGTGCTGGCCCGCAATTTAGTTTTGAGCGTAATTTCTTTTAATAGCGCCAGTCGACAGATAAAATTCACCACACACACACACACACACACACACACACTAACAAGCAAATGCAAAAACACACATATACACTGCAACAAATAGATAGGTACAAGCTGGATAACAATTTTAAATTAAAGTTAAAAAAATTAAAAGCGATTTCAAAGTTTTTAATTCAAAATAATATGAAATAATACAATTATTCTGCGTTATTGAAATGTAAAATGTTTTAACATAAATCAAACCAAAAGCTAACCTATAATATAATAATATAAAATATAATTTAGTTTTGTCTGCTGCTCGATCTATCCTTAAAAACACTTTATTGCTTTATTTGAACTGTGACTGGACCAATCTAAAATATACAAAAAATTCTTAATTGTACATTTTGAAATGTAAGTAAAATTGAAATTGATATGATTTTAATTTCTATAGAACTAATGTCAGTAAGAGTTAACTTGCCAAATTTGTTGCAGTGTATAGAGTGTCTGAGACTGACTTCTGTGTCTTTTCCTTACATAGATGTCTTGCGCCCAGTTAGAGCATCTGCCTCTGCTGGGGTCAAGGGGTGAGCGGGCGTGTCGCTGGCGGATATCGCAAGTAAATTGCTTAATTTTGGCCATGTCTCAGCCTGCCACTGCCACCCCACTGTAGGATCGAGGCATGGGCACCGGCATCTCTTAGGGCCTGCCACTTGTTTTGTTTTATTGGGCCTCAGGGTTGGGAGGTTGCAGGGTTGCCGGAGTTACAGGAGTTGGGGGGTTGGGTCGTCGCTTGAGGTTGACGTTTTCGGGCATGACGATTTCATTTGCATTTTATGATAATTGAACTTCATAAATATGTCACGGCAGCATCTTAAAAGTGCCAACGGTAAGTACACACACCGTTTGTTCCCTGAGATAAATGCTGGTTTCCTGCTCCTGCGTATACCCAATTGACCTGTCGCCTTTGACGCACCCCGCAACCAACAAAAACAAAAAACGTGGGCGGCATGTGCTTCATAATTATTTTGAAGTGTCGTCATTAATTTGAAATACTTATGGGCGTACGGCCAGGACCATAAACTGCTAAACAAAAGTGGATTACGATTACATGCTAAATATGCTAAATATATGGTATACGTATGTATGTACAAACAAGATTGGAGCCGTGCTATGGACGATGATGATGACGATGACAGCGCTTGCAATATGAGACGAGTTAATTGCGAGGTAATATCAAACTCTAGCATCGGATAATTATTATTAAGAAGTGAAGCGACTATTTTGGGCTGTGGTTAACAATAGATAAATATATATATTCATTTTTCAGGTTCACTAAACAGGCAGACCCGTTATGGCTCCGAGGTATAGAACCTCAGCGGAGCTCTTAAACTTAATGTTATATCTTAAAATAGGCAATATTAGTGCATGTTTTATTTATTTCTTTTTTAAGCCAGCCAAATTATAAAAATACGTTTTAATATATATAAATAGCTTATATGATAATTCATCTTAATTCACATAAAAAGGACACTTGTGTCACTAGTTTTTCCTTCTTCAATTGCAACTTAAGTGTGATAATTTTAAGTAGTTTAGTCTGATTATAAGAAAATTAAACACTGATACACTTATAGCTGATACTTCAATTCTATTTACGGCTTATCATTAATTACTCACCCAATAGAATTTCAATCCTTTGCCCCCACAACAGACAGCATTTAACACCTTATTAGAATCAGGACTCATCTATATTAAAACGCAGGCAATCCATCCAGCCAGAGTCTGAGGCAACAACTACAACTATTTGGCGGCGCCATGAATAAAGTCAGGCATAAACAGGATATATGGCCACAAATCCCAGCGCCTTACAACGGCAATGAATATTAATGAGATGTCATCAGTCTTTCGTCAAATTAAAACGCACAGCCAACGCAACGGCCCAGAACTGGGAGACGTAGAATCAGCTTCGGACTACGACGGATTGTGGTTGCTGTTGCTGTTGTTGTTGTTGTTGTTGCGCACATCCTGCGGTAACTTTTCTAATTGTTGCGAACACACAACACGAATAAATCAGCCGGAAAACAAGCAGCCGCTGTCTGTGGAAGGGTGTGTTAGTCAAGCGTCTCCGACTCCGTCTCCATCTCCGTCAACACGGCTCTGACTTGTGACTTTGACTACGGGCTGCTTTGCTGGCTGTGAGCAGTTTTTGGCAATTTGTTTTGCTGTAGTTGAGTATTTCATCAGCATCAGCGCGGCAAAGGTGGTTGCTTAGCAAATCTCAACCCTTTACCATCAGACTAAGTGTCACCTTTAAAGTCATACGTCAGCGCACTATCAACACGCTTGTTTACACGCATAATTATGTGTGTGTGTGTGTGTGTGTGAGAAATTCCGGGAATTTCACAAGCAGTAAGGAGCTGGCGACAACACCGCAAGTCATCCGGCAAAGTGACATGACGCCTATGTGTATAGAGTATTATAATATGCAGTGTGTATTTTCAAGGACCCTTCGTCTTGTGGCTGCCCCAAGCGACTTAATGCCTCGTGACAGATTTCTCACTTGAACTGAAAATGACGGGCCGTGTCACAATTTGATGCTGATAATATGTTAATGAGGTTGGTTTATTTGATTTACATTCCCCTTGTCAGCTTTAAGTAACTTTCCGAGCAACTTGCGAGCTGAGCGGTCGCCAAACATTTGCCATTTATTCAAATCACAGTTAAGTGGAAGTTAATCGCGACTATGAAGGTAATTGCATCTGTTGCCTGTGGATCAGATTTATTATTATTATCTTAACGTATATATTTACATATTTCAAATCTCAAATGACAATCAACAAATTTTATAAATAAACATGCAGATGTCAACCTGAATTCCCTATCGATATTGTGTTGTCCATGTACAGTTTGTCAAAGTTTTGAAATAGTGTTTGTTGAGAATCGAGTAACAATAGGAAATATTCAAAATCTCATTAAAAAACAAAATCGTATACAAACCACTAAAAAAACACAACTGATTCGGTAAGCAATGCATAATAGCTATTGAAAATTCCAAGTTACCTCAATCTATTTGGTGTTTTTTGTAGTTACCATGATGCGCCTTAAGGAACTTGAGCTAGATCAGGTCGAAGAGCGGGCGAAGGAGGAAGTTCGCTCCGCATTCATCGTATTTGGTGTTATCTGTGCTACAATTCGATTGGTTCCCATTTTGCTACGCAGATTGACTTCATAGATTGACACATTTGCTTTACAACAAATCTGGAAAATTGATGTGCGCCTGGAAATTAGCTTTGACTATATATAAATAAAATACTTCTTTGGATCACATCCCTACAAAACTGAATAATTCAATATTTTAAATAGCTCAGCAAGTCGATATATCAGTCAATTACAACTATTTGTGGATTATTTGATCAGTCTATCTCCTTATAGATGGTACCATTTATGTTTAACTAGTGCTCCAATACGGAAGTTTCGGTAATGCGATGCATATTCCATGGGATACATTTGGGCGCAGTTGTGCAGCTATGAGCTAACCCTAATTCCCATGCTGGAAGACCATAATGGGGTAGACCGGGCTGGGGGTGGTGGGCTGTTGGGGTGGTGTCGTGGAGCTATGTGGCCTTATAGCCCCATTAGTCGCTGCTGATTCTGGCGCACATTATTTCTGGCACGGCACGTGTTTGAACCACAAACAGATGAATTTCTGCAGTGGAGAAGCGACGACGACGAATTATGAGCCACTCAGCGCACTTGCGCGTTCCACAAGGAGTGCCTAATAGAAGCAGGATACGGTGGGGTTGGGCGGAAGGTAGTTTAGGGTAGAATAACTGGTATGCTACTGGGCTCCTAGGCCCGGAGGCTGTCCTCGTTCTCTTGCTCGCTCCAACTGCAATTCGTCCTCGGGGTCTTTTTTGTGTTAATAATAAATAAACGTGGCTCGGCTGGGCGTTGGTGCTTGGGTGGCGTGGCGTGGCGTGGCGTGGGGTGCACCTTTGTGCTTGTGTTTTGGACACACCGGAGCGCATTTTAATGGACGAATGCAACGCTAGTGGCCTTTACCTTCCAGCACATCTCGCTGACTGCATGTGTGACACCAACTGCTCCCCACTTCCCCAGACCGTACTCTTACCCGGATTGCCGTACTGTTGGCCGGGCTGGTACGCTTGAAATGCGGCATTTGCTCGTCCATCTTTTGATTTAGCACCGACATAAAAATGATTTATCAGTGACATTAAAATAATGCACACTGCGGCGCATTTTATGTGCGAATGGATTTTCGCGCCTTTTTGTTTTCGTCCCTCCTCATTTGTGCGCCCGTCCTTGCCACCTCGGCTCCATCTCTGCAGCTGCACAAATGCATTTCAGCCTAGCTCAACGTAGAGCCAACCAACCCAGCAACGAACCCAGAACGGCTCCCGTTCTCCATCCGCAAACAGCTGTCCGTCCGTCAGTCTTTGTATGCTGCCGTCAGCCAAATGTTTTACGGCCGAGGTATTTGTGACTGCCACTCGTACTATGTACGTGTGTGTGTGTGTGTGTGTGCGAGTGTGTGTACGCCGTAGAGCTCTGGACCTATCCAAACCTAGCTAGAGCATCATAAATGTAAACTTTTATGCGATTATCGCGTTCTCTTTCTCGCTGCGTAGCTAGGCACATTTTGCAATGCAAAATACACGGAAAATAATTAGAGAGCATTCATAAAAATAAAAACTTAACACGACAATCTCTTTGAACTATTCAAATTGAATCATTAAATTCGACATTTGATTTTATCTAACCAAAAATTAAGATGATCTTTGAGATCTTTTCATTATTTTATTATTAACTTTATATTTGTTCCATTATAAATTTGGTTTTTTTGGAAGGTGTTGTTAGCTTAAAATTCTTAATTTTCAAAAGATGCATATTAATATTATTAAAGAGAAAGTGTTGCAAAATTGGTTTGACAAGGGTTTTAAGTCTGTTGAGTGACTTGAATCGAGTAGAATACTGTCTAAGAGAAGTTGGGAAATGTAAAACAAAGCAAATAATATTAAATACAAAATAGTTGTTAAATTGCAGATTGTACAATAAAAGTTAATGGTTCAAATGTGAAACGATTCTCTCAGTGTATGTGGTACTATATATTTGAAATGTGCCATAATTTTCACCCAGATGTGTGACAGAGCAGACGGGCCAGTGGGCTGGCAATCAAGCCAGGAGGCAGAGCGGGCTGAAGGCAAAAGTCCGCCCAGCTGAGGACAACATATGCCCTTTCATGGGGCCCGGGAACTCATTAGAGCGGGCGTCGTGGACTTGCTTCGTGTTTGTGTATGTGTGTGTGTGTGTGTGTGTGCAAGTGTGTATATGTTTAATGAGGACAACAGAAGCGAGGAGAAGAAGCTCAGGCGCTGCTGCACAGTGCAGCTCAGATATGAGACAGATAGAAGGGACATGGATGCACACATCTGTAGACGCCGCTGATTGCCCCGTTCCGAGCTTTGGCCGGTTGGCAGCGTCAGCATAATTTCCTGATGCTAAATGCCAAACGCAGAACGAGGCGGACTAAAATGGGATGGAACAGCAGACGAGAGCAGTCGAGCACTTTCAGCCCATTCGCCATTCAACAACTGTCCACTGACCGACTGCCATTGCACGAGCGCTCGAATGGAAAAGCGGATCCTGTTGCAGGACTCGAAGTGGTTGTTGAGCATGCAGCGGGGAGAGCAGGTTGTGGGCTAGGTTAGCGCCTGTTGTTGTAGTTGCGGCTGTGTGTCATTGTCTCGCGCTGGGATGCCAGCACTAAGACCATAACTAGAACCCGCCAGCAGGACGAACAGCAGGTCCTGGGCAATTTAGTGCAGAGCGCACAAACACACACCTGTTTTTCGAGCGTAATTTATCTCGAAGAATTATTATTTCAAATATTTTGTGGGCGGGTGGCGGGCAAAGCCCCCACAACACTCGAGGACGACGGGAACGAAACGAAATAAAAGGATTTTAAAATGGTCATTTGATATGAATTATGCGCGTTGCTGCAATTACAGATCCTACACCTCCACACACACACACACACACTGCCTGCCCGCTTGATGCCTTTGTCTAAATGTGATGCGGTTGTCTGAACCGCTTAGCTGGAACAGGATGTGGAATCTGGAACCTCTGCTGAAAACTGCGCTTGCTTACTTGTTTACCATGGCCATGTCCTGGTCGCAGGATACCGGCGCATTCAACGCAATTGAGCTTCCGCGATGGCGCATAAAACATTCGCTCTTGGACTTCATTGTTAAATAATTAAATCAGCTGCGAGACTAATATATTTCTCTTAATTGCACAGCCAAGTCATGTGTGCCCATGAGAAATGTTTGCCGGCTGACCATTTGGCTCATTTCTGATTTATGCAGCGCCAATCGACGACAACAGTCGACTCCATGCATATGCACCATTATAAATGGCATCCCCAGCATATATCAAAAATTAGCAGCTGCTTATGGACAAGATTTGTGTTTATTCATGATCTGAAGGGTTAGTGTACGGATATTTATGCATCGAGTAGTTATCATTCTTTGGAGAGTTATCAATCCACAATTGCGAGTGTGATATATTATTATATTAAATGTATATTTTATATAAAACATGGTGCTCTGATTTATGAACCTTTTTACTTAAATATATATATATATTTATTTTTTTGATAAACTTAATTAATCGTTGATATAAAACTGTCCATAAAACAGCATTAATATCTCTGTAATATAGTTGTTCGGAAATTGTGCGGAGTTCCATGAATTGCTTATCGCCATCTGTCGCTTTATTTCATTTGTGATAAGATTTTCTACGAATATATGTCATACGACATGCTCGTTGTATGCACCTAAAAAGTTATTTTTTCAGAGTGAACAAGAAATAATCAATGAAAAATCAACAAAACTGTTAAAAATAATTATCGCGGCACATAAAAAAAGCAAACAAAAATGCTTGAGGGGAGACCTGGGGGAAGGCATACAAATTGAAAAAGAAATGTAAAAATAATCGGCAATAAATTTTGCAAAAGTGTCGAAAACGGTTCACACACACACACACACACACACACACACACACACACACTCACACATACACAAAAGCACACACGGAAATTTGGCCACGCCAAGAACTCATAGTTCAATGTCCTGAGCAGGCGACGACCGCCAGGCGGGTAGAGGAGTAGTGTCAGCAACAGAAAGTAGACAGGAGAGAGAGAGAAAGAGAGTGGGAGGGGGTGGCAGAGGGGGTAGAGTTGGACAGGGGGTGAGCGCAAGGTTCGCAGTAGCAACCGCATTTATAATAAATTGAATTGCAATAACTCAACTTCAATCAAAAATCATAATTCATGGAATTCGACAGGCAGAACCGCTGCATGAGCAGAAGCAGGAGCGGCAGGAGCAGCAGCAGGAGCAGCAGCAGGAACTACTCGTATTCTGGCTGGTTTTCTGACCCTTTCTTTCTTTTCGGATTTCATTCTCATTTTTTTTGTATTTTTTTTTATTATTTTGTTGGCCCTGCGATGCATTGCATTGGCCGTCGCTTGGGCGACGCAGCCGAAAATTATAAATCTACGCTTTGACATGAAGATGCAAGCAAGTTTGAGCGAGGAGGGGGCGAGGAGTAAGCCAGTGGTGTTCAGTGTGTGTGCTCCTGAAGACATGGATTTATAGACGAAGACATAAATACAAACGGAGCCATCGAAGTCGAAACGACCGGCCAAAGACACCGAAAAAAACACACCAAAAACCAAAACCAAAAACCATTGAAAAGTGTGCGCGAGCAGAGCCCAAGGAGGCGGAACACGCTCAATGCCCATAAATATCCTTGTGCTTGTAGTTGCAACTGTTCAGGCCGGACACGGGGGCCGTGCGCGGGACGAGTTTTAGGTGAAAATAATCACCGCTTCACATGAAATCATTTTGCGCCACAAAATGCCAAAGAAAATGCAAGCAACGCCCAAATGTGGGCTACAGTCGAAAAAAAAATAGAAGAAGAAAAAGCTACAGCAGGATACGCAAGGATCTGCGCAATAGACCGGTAAAGTCATCGCCGTTCAAACGCTCCAAAATGCAAGCGATATAAATTCAAAGTTTTGCCCTATCAAGAAAAAACAAATCAAAAGTGACAATTTTAGAAACCATTTAAATGATTTCTACTTTGATTTCTTGCCAAAGCGATTAAGAAGAGGAAAATGGAGCTAGGGAAAGATTTGAAGAAGAAATGTGGCCATACCAAAAAGCATTACGACAATTTAATGATAGTTTTGTTATAAGTGCTCTTATCTTGCTTTGTTAGTATTCCAATCTATTTTTGAATTT